GTGTGTCTTGTCCCCTACCCCCCCCCCCTTACCCCCCCCCCCCCGTTTTTTTTTTTTTATCGTGTTATCAAGATGGATTGTTAGCTGCTTGTTTTATTAATTATCTTGTAGGTGCAAGATGGTGTTCAGGTGATAAGAGATAAACAGGAAATAATGGATGCTCAGCTGCAGCTCATGAAATCGCAAGCTCCAAAGGTTGAGCAGGAAGCAGAAACCCACAATACTACACATAAGGATTCACCCCAACCTACAGCATCTGCTCCTCTTCAATCCCACCAGCAATTTCCTCCTGTTGCTCTTACACAACCACCTTCTACCGTACCTCCTCCAAATGCTCCTCCGCCCCCTCCTCAACAGAATCCGCCATACCAAGTTCAACTTCAGAACCAGTTTCCTCAGAATCCAATTCCCTCCCATCCTCAGTCAGAAGCTTATTATCCCCCAGCTGGTCAAGCACCGGAAAACTTAAGTCAGCAGTACCAACTGCCTGCACCACAGCAGCATCAGACTCCTCCACCACCTCCACATCAACAATATCAGTCTGCCCCTCCACCAATGTACTCTCAGCCACCTCCACCTGCTCAACCACAACCCCCTCATTCCTCTGTTAATCCCACGCAACCTCAACCTCTAGTAGGCCATCATCGTGAAGAGACACCTTTTGTACCATCCCAGAATTATCCACCACCAAGCATCCGCCAACCTCCTCATCCATCAAGTGGAGCCCCTCCATCCCAGCAGTTATATGCAGCTCCCCCTAATATGTTTGAGCCCCCACCTACCAGACCTGGTCCTGGATATTCTGGTGTATATCCACCATCCTCTGTGCATGGTGAACCTTATCCTTATAGCAGTTCCCCAGGTCAGTATGGCAGTGGCTCCTCAATGAAACCACCACAAGTTAACTTACCTGCAATGGGCCAGAGTGGTGGAAGTGGCTATCAGCAGCTCCCCACTGCAAGGATATTACCTCAAGCACTACCTACTGCTTCTGCTGTTAGTAGTGGGTCTAGTTCTCCCGGTACTGGTAATAGGGTTCCTATTGATGATGTTGTTGACAAAGTGACGAACATGGGATTTTCAAGAGACCAAGTAAGGGCAACAGTGCGGAGGTTGACTGAGAGTGGACAGGCAGTGGATCTGAATACGGTGTTGGACAAGTTGATGAATGATGGAGACGTTCAGCCACCACGGGGCTGGTTTGGTCGGTAGCATGTATCCTCTTGTTCAAGTTCCTGTATAGAAATCTGAGTTCAATGTTTAAATTTGCAAAAATTACTTTGCTTGGATTTTAAGCGGCATTCTTTACTGGTTTAGCCTTCTGCTTCTGACTGCTGAAACTTCGTTCTTGTGCTCGCCAGACAGAGATTTGTTAATGTGACATTTCCTTTTCCGTTTCTTTTGCTTTTTCCTTTCTTTTTTCTTGTACAGGACCACAAATTACTTTCATTTCCTTGCGCTCAACTGTTTTCACTTTGTATCTTTTTTCTTTCTTTTTAATTCTTATTCCTGCATGTTACTTGTTTTTAATAATTCGAATAACGATATCTACACACCCAGCACTTTCTTTAAAACAGTAACTCAAATTGTAATAGTTTGGAAATTATGTATAGATATTAAGTTCGATCCCCCCTCTTAGTTCATTTATTTGAACCTTTCCTTTCTCACAACTAAAAATCTATGACGACAAGAAAAAAAACATTTAATTACAAATTAGGTTCCTTCATTTAACGATAAGTAATGCGAAATTTATTAGCCGTCTTTTCTTTTTGAGATGCTACATTCTTTATTATCATCATTCTTGAGTGAAACTAATCTATTCTATGTTAATATCTGTTTGGTAGCATGGTTGGTAGCATATGTTACATCCATTTGAAATATATTATTACAATAAGTTGGACTTCTAATTTCTTAATATACTTATTCACACGTTTGTTAACCAAAACGTTTATTTAGTTATAATTGAGAAAAAAATAAACAAAATATTCTATTTTGCCTTTAGATTGGTGATATTAGCACTTTATTCCTATTATTTTGAAGCAATAAACTATTACTATCATTTATTCTTTCTTAGTTATTAAATTATATATCAACATTCTAATGGTAAATGAATAAATAGGTGTAAGAGTTAATAAATCTTGGGGAAGTAACAAACTGTTTCCTAATTTTTTTGATATATTTGAAGCAATTTATAAAAAAAAAGAAAAAGAAAAGAAAAGATCAGATTAATTCACAATCTCACCAAATAAGAGATTATTATAAACACAATATATTACTGTCACTATTTTGCAAATGAAGAAAGCATAGGGGTTGTACTGTGACCATAGTTTTCTAATTTCTATCAATCCCTCTCTGTCAAAACCCTGTTTCTCAGGTTTTCTTTGTTTTAAGATAGTATCATAGGAAGAAGAAGACAGAATAATTAAAAACGGGAGACAGAAATAATAACAGAGACATAAATATATTGGGGCCATTATTGAAGCCACACGAAGTATCTCACCGGCGATGTATACAACTTCTAGAAATTCAGACCGGTGAATCGAAACCCTAAAAGTCTCATTTTTAGAGGTTCGGTTCTTTTATCTTTTCTTTGCTTCATTAATTTAATATATTTGGAGCTTAGATATTGTAATCCAGCTTGCTATTCTTTTATTAATTTGATAGTAATCGTAATTGAGCTTAGCTATTGGGTGATTGTATTGCATTCGATTTAGTGATTGATTTTTATCTTTATTCGTTTTTACCATTTTGATACTTAAGACTGGAATGATTAGAGCTGGTTCATTTTAAAGAGCTTGCTTCCGCTACGTTTTTAGCCAAAGGATCCCCCCTCACACCTCCCCAAAAAAAAAGCAGCTTATTTTTTGGCTCATCTGCAAATGATTTAATTGGCATTTTATGCCTGTTTTGATTGGCTTGGTTTGTCGCATTTATCATTAGTCGACACCAAACTTGATGTTTGCACATATCAGGCCAGGAGTTTTCACGCGCCTTCCCAGGATTCCACGAATGTGCCGTGTGTTAATGTGTCTAGGTTCCTATAATACAATGACTTTATTGCCAGTACGTTGCTTCCACCAACTCATGGTAATTGGATGCTGAAATTTTTTAGGAAAGAATCCAGTATTATCCAATGCAACAATAACTATTATGTCTCAATCCCAAACTCACCAGTGTGCTGGTAAATGAGCTAGGTGCAAGGTGGAACTATTCTGTTTGTTTAGCTAGTTTTCATTGTCTGAGTGCTGAATGACAAAAGTATTAACACGACTTTGTCTTTCTTAGAGTTTTGTAAGCTTTGCCAGAAAAGCTTGGTTTGATACACAGCAGGACGTAATTTAGGGTATTTTGTACTTGAGTCATTCTTTTCAGAAGGTGACATATTCCATTTTAACTGTATTATTGGCTGCTAATGTTGTGCTCTGGAATTGTATGCCTGTCCCATTATGAAAAATAATATGATCACTGTACTCACTATTGAATTGATTGAGCTGTGTGCAATCATTGGGGGGTCCATGAAATAATGATTCTATTGGATTGGATAAAGACATGTCAAAATGAGTTAGAGAACTGCGGTGTAGCGGGTGTAACCATTGTAGCTCATATTGGGGATTGAGTTAGCTAACTAGCTGAACACCCTCACCTTCCACCATGTGGGAAGAGAGTTCAAATCCCATAAGCAGCATTGGCGTCAACTTCCCTGATATAGTAATAAAAAAATTAAAAGAGAAAATCTTAGCATGTTCTATCCAATGATTTATGTTGTTTCACCAGTTTTAAAACTCGCAAAGAATGTTGAAGATATATATGATTGTTGAGGATGCCCCCAGGGCTTTGGTCTAGCGGGTGATATGTGGGTTAGGCACACTTGCCAAATTTGTCTTGATGTGCTTTCTTTTTGACGAGGTGCTCTGAGCATGATCTCGGTATGTAATTCAACATCTTTGAATGGCCAAAACTTCAATATGTTTAACATTCATGTAACTGCTAATGACTGAAGACTAAATGTTTCTGTCCTCATGGTGAAAGAAAGCTGCCATAATTCATGAATATCATGTCTACCTTGGTATTCTTGCCTAGGAAGAAAACTTTCATTAGTTCTTTGAATCGAACTTGCAAGTCGTGCATTCAGTTATATGGATGTCTTAGTTTTTTGGAACTATGCACATACATCAGGTATCGCGTGATAGCTGATTGTGTCATTTTCTTTTTAGATGGATGTCGTGATAATTTCTTAAAACTATGCTCGTGCAGCAGGTATAGCATGATAGCTGGTTGCATCATTATCTTTGTGAGATGGATGTCATGTGATAGTTTCTTGAAAGTTGAAACTATGCACATGCATCAGGTATCACACGATACCTGGTAGTGTCATTAGTAGCTTCTACAGCTCGAAGAAGCTCAATGTCATGTTATTTGGGGTATGCTTGATTACTCTTTTTCTGGGTTATCCTCTTCTCCAGATTGTTTGGATGAAGTAGGAAGAAACTTCTATAGGTTTCATGTGATTCAAGCCAACTAGTTCCTGATGCAGGAAAGTCCTAGTTGGATCTTTTGTGCCTTCATGGAATTATGAAATACATCTTCTCATTTTCAGCGTGAACTGCAATTATTTATACCTTCCCTTTTGTTGATCCCCCTTTTCAGGCAGTAGTAACTTTGTAGGTGATGATGGCAATCGAACTAGTTTGATTATCTCACGTGGATGAGGTAAAAGTTTCTATATAAGCAAGGTTGTCGACTCATGGAGCTTAAAGTTTCATCGCCAAAGCCGGTTTTTTCAACCTCTGATTGCAATAGTGATCCCGAGGAGAAAGAAATTAGTGAAGACGACGATGATGATCGTAATCATAAACATCGTAGAAAGGATACACGTTCACAATCTACAGAGACAGAGGCTCTTGAACCAGCTTTAAGGAGACCATTCAGGAAACGGAACAAGCCGTTTGAAAATGGACATCCTTACCAGGAAGGAGATTCTCACTCGAGTGATACTAGGTTTGGGAAAAGACGAGGAATGGGTTCTTTTTCCAGGACACCTTCAGATTCGTATCAGATGATGAGGCTAAATCAGTCCCTGTCTGGTCATGCTGCTCCTGGTAGGGGTCGAGGAAGAGAATCTGGTGCTTGGGGTCCGTGTGAATCTAGGTTCAGCACTATTGATATTGCGTCTCAATTTGTTCCACAAGGCCCTATTAATCCTCTTCTTTATACTGGAAGGGGGCCGCAAAATGTTTCCAGTGGACAGGGTGCGTCTTGGAATGCGTTTGGAATAGTTCCAGGAATACCCAATGGTGGTCTTGATACACTTCATACCCTTGGCTTACAGGGAAGGCTTAGAACGTCCTTGAATCCTGCCATGAGTATGGGCATTCCAAGGCAAAGGTGTAGAGACTTTGAGGAGCGTGGTTTTTGCCTAAGAGGAGATATGTGCCCTCTGGAGCATGGAGTAAATCGCATCGTTGTTGAAGATGTTCAGGTAGGCGTCTCAGCTGACAAATATTTGTGTATATCTTGTTCATTAAATTCTATGTCCTTAGGCACATTGATTCTGACTTTTTGTTTTCCAAATTGCAGAGCCTTTCTAAGTTTAATCTTCCTGTTTCACTTCCCGGTGCTCATACGCTGGGACCAGCTACTGCACAAGGACCTTTACCTGCAATAAGCCCCTCAAGCTCATTGGCTAATAAAGCTTTACATAACAAAAGTATCAACCCTCCAGTAATTGACAATGGATTAGGTTTGACTGATACTTTTGGTGGTGGTTCTGTGTCTGGGGGAGCTGATTTCTATGATCCTGATCAGCCTTTATGGTCAAATGATCATCCTGAAAATTCAGCAGCACTCTTGGATGTAAATCGGTCTAAAATTGATGATACGGGGCCGATGCTGGATGCAGACTCCTCTGATCAGGATCAGGTTGCGCTTTGTGATGGCTTTAAACTTGAGCGTCTAGTTAGAGATGCTGGAGCAGCTTCAGGATCTCAAAGTGTGTGGGAAAGAACCAGTAGGTCTAAACATAAGTTGCAATCATTCAACAGCACTCAGGGTATAAACCGTCATGGTAAGCAAACAAATGTAGATACCATAGACCCGCAAATGGTGGAATCATCTTCAGAGCCCCAAAGTAGTTCTGGACGCAATATGCGAAAACCATCTCAAAAGGCACTCCGTACTCTATTTGTAAGTGGGGTTCCGCAGAAAGACAACAAACCAGAAGCTCTTCTTTCACATTTTCAAAAATTCGGGGAGGTTATCGACATTTACATCCCGATGAATGGTGAACGAGCTTTTGTTCAATTTTCTAAGAGGGAAGAAGCTGAGGCTGCTTTAAAAGCACCAGATGCTGTGATGGGCAACCGCTTTATAAAGCTTTTCTGGGCAAACAGGGATAGCATTATGGATAATGGAACAAGTGGTAGTAGTATTTTTCCATTAGCTCCCCGCGGTGGGACACCCAGTACGGTTCCACCCCATCTATTGTTTCCTCATAAAAGGAAAGACAATCTGCAGACTGTAGCCGGAAAAACTGCTGAACAAGCCTGTGGCTCCGTTACTGTTGCTCCGTTAGCCACCTCTGATCTGCCCAAGCCTGTGGCTCAGAATGGTCTCAAAACTACACCACCTTTGAAGAAAAAACTGGAGACGTTAGAACTTCTGAAGGAAGAAATGCGCAAGAAGCAGGAGATGCTTGAGCAAAAGCGTAATGAGTTCCGACGCAAGTTGGATAAACTTGAGAAGCAAGTAATGGCCTCTTCTTAATATAAAAAATGATAATAATTATTGTTTAAGCTTATAATCTCGCAATTATATGCTATTCTCAGCCGGCATTTTTGCTGGTGTTGTCTGATTAGGTTCCTCATTGTTAACTTAGATGAGAAGTGGAAATTATGGGGATCAATTTGGCTGCAGAATTTTGCTGTTATTTATCTTCCAAAGAAAGTAATTGCTTGTGTAACTTCAAATTGATCTTATATCTGCGGTAGTTTATTTGTTTATCTCCCAGTGTATGACGATACACCTTCACTGATCTGTTTTTTTTTTTCTTCTTTTTTTGGTTAATATTGGTGCAAAATGAGTTTAAATGGAGCTCCACAGTCCGTGATTGCCTTAGTAGTAGTTGTAAATATTATTGTAAAAGCAACTGGCAATTGAAACCCCCTTTTCTTCTGCGTCCTTTGTTATGCAGGCTGTGGGTGTGAAAGATGAAGCAGCGCCAGATCAGGCTATGAACAAACCAAAGGGTGGAGGAACAGTTTCCAACTCTGGTAAAGTGGAAAATTCAAGCCCCGTAGAACCTAGTAACACTGTGTCATCACCACCATCTGAAGCAACACCAGATAGTAGCAGATCTACAGAGAATGCCGAACCCACTTGTTCAAAGTTATCTTTGACTGTTGCAATGCATGAAGCTTCAAACTTGAAGCAGTCAATTCGTCCATTGGCACCGGTGGGCGCACCTTTTATCTTAAATAGATACAAACTAGATAACCGGCCCACCACATTCAAGATCCTTCCACCTCTACCAAGTGCTCTGGCAAACGTAATGTCTCTAACTCACTTCAGATAATTGCTATTTGTAAGAGATTCTTTCACAAGAGAAAAAGAATGCGGATATTTCTTTCTTCATGTTCCTTATGCTGCTATGCTTTTTCCCTGACATGTTCTTTCACGTTTTAAACTTGAAATATGTAATATCAGCAAGAGTTTATTCATTCCACACATTTGTGTTTGCTGACTTTTCCAAAGCAAAGCTGTAAGGGTGTAAAACTATGCATGTCTCTGCTATAACCTTGTGCTTCTTGGAATGAGGTGTGTTAGGTTGATGGTTTTCAGTCTTTAAAAAATTAATAGTTTTAATTTGTTTTTAATGTACTCATAACTCACATGACTAAAGCAAGAGCACATGGGGCTACTGTTTGTTCGCATATTTCACATCTTTGTTTTTCTGGAAATTGGATGTGTTTTACCCCCTTTGTCTAGTACATGGTTCAGGTTAATTTGTAGATTCATTTGCTCTGGTTCCTGTATTCTCATTTATATATCATAAATAATTTTCTATTTTTAGGTTGACGTCCTGAAGGAGCACTTTTCTACTTTTGGTGATCCACCTTCTGTTGAGCTGGAAGATTTGGAACCTAAAGATTGTAATGATGGCTCAGAAGTGCAAAATACATCTGCTAGGATATCTTTCCGATCACGTCGTTCTGCTGAAAGAGCATTTCTGAATGGTAAATCCTGGCAAGGCCAAATTCTGCAGCTTATGTGGGTGCAATCCAGTAATCCTGCAAAGGATGTTGGTGTTGGAGAAAATGTCACTCCAGCTTCAAAGCAGCCTTCAGATGCTAATGGGCAATCCAATGCAAGAAATGGCGTGGCTGGTCTACCGGAAGGAAGTGTGGCCGGGAACCATGAACCTGACAATCAAGGAAGAAGAGAAGATGAATGAGATTCAAGTCAAGCTCAGCTTCTGCGTCTGGTTAACAGTTAGTTCAATGTGATTGATCATGATGATGGCCTGATTTTCGGAGTTGTACAGCGAGATAAATTTTTAAACCATTTATATGTAACTTAGGAGTTATTAGTAATCAACAAATTTCAGTTTCAATTTTGCTTTCACATTATCTGCAAATGTAAAGAAGAATTTTTTGATTCTAAACCAGCAGTCCTGTTGGTAAGCTGTACTGAATTATCTTGAGTAACTGGATGCTCAGACAGAGTCTAGGATTTACTGCAGTTCTTAAAAGAAAAGAAAAACAGAATTATGAAGATGAGATAGTGCCAGTCACATTTGGCGTTTTACTTATTTCTAAGTGACTTCCCACTGCAGCTTTCTACCAGAATTTGAGTTTCTAGTTCACAAATGTATGAGTTGAGGTGTTCAAATGGGAAAGTTACAATTGGTATCTAGTTCACCAATTATCATTTTTTTTAAAAATTATTAGGCGTATTGTTATTATCATTGCCATTTTTAGAAAGTCCAGGGAGTTAAACTGGGTAAGAGCATTTATTTATTTTCAAGCCATTTCTCATCCTTTACTACGCTCAAACCTGAAACGTCCTCACAATTTTGAGAAAATGACAAGAATAGTACCTTATCTTTGGAAGTAAGTTTACGGTGATCCTTTAAATATGCCCCTATCTGTTTTAGTCCTTTAAGTTTGACAAAACTTAACAGTTTTGGTCCACAACTATTTTTTAAAGTTAAATTTAACGGTCCCACCACATGAGCCTCAAAATTAAGAGAATCGGCCCTCCCCCAATTTTCACTCTTCTGAATGCATGTTGTTAAAGCATCTTCTCTTCCGTTAAAAATGCACAGGTTTGAATATTTGAATTTTTGGTCTACCAGAGCCATTTGAAAACTTATTGCAGCGGAGGAAAATAAAGATACATTTCAACCAGTAAAATCTGTGATATTACTAGACCAGAAAGTTTTCTCCTTGATAGTACGCTCAATAACCCAATCTAGCAACAATGACCACATATTTCTATCACCAATAATATCAATTTGATAGAGTTTATTAAACCAATGAGTTTTAATGATTTATATCCCTTCTTAAAGGTGAAAGTTACCGTTCTTTTAAACATAGTTTTTTTATGAGTGCCCTTCCTATATTTATCTCTCATGCTTTGTCATATGAGTCTAATTACCTTTGTTTGTCTTTTTTGTTACAGCTAAGCTTTCAAGAGGGATATGGGCGAAAGAGAAGTGGGGAGAACTGTTAAAGTTAACTTTAAAAATGGATGGAGACCAAAACTGTTAAGTTTTGTCAAACTGAAAGGACTAAAACTCGTAGGGACATATTTAAAGGACCAACATAAACCTACTCCCAAAAATAAGGGACCATTTTTGTCATTTTCGCTCACAGTTCTATCCAAAAAGAACTTCGTTATCCTCTTTTGCCATTTTACAACTCAAAACTGTTATCGTCTCGCGTGAAATGGCGGCATCTTCTCCTCTGCTTTTGCACTCCTCGGCCTCCTCTTTCCACAGCGAATTTCCGGCCCATTCCATTCGATTAACGACCGTAAATGCTAATGTTTTAGCCTTGCCCAATAAACTGACGGTGAAAGCCTCATCAGGGATAGTATTGGTGGATAAAAGTGAAGCTGAAAAAGTTAATCGACTGAAAACAAATTACCTCGAAAAGATTGTTCCCATTTTGAAGGAAGAATTCAATTACACCAATATTCACCAGGTATATTTACTTCTTACTCTTCTAATCTTAGAGTTGAAATACTGAGAAATAATTTGTTCTAGTTTATTCGGTACTAATATCATTTGGTGAGTAAAATATTTAAGTGCTTTGACTTGGCACAATTCGTTAGTGTTACTTTGATATGGTATGTGGAATAATTGACTTGTAGGTTCCGAAGGTTGAAAAGATTGTGGTAAATTGTGGTATTGGAGATGCTGCACAAAATTCAAAGGGTTTGGATGCCGCAATGAATGATTTGGCACTAATTACTGGGCAAAGGCCAGTGAAGACGAGGGCTAAGAATGCTATTGCTACTTTCAAAATTAGAGAAGGTCAACCGCTTGGAATCGCTGTTACACTTCGAGGAAATGTATGTTGGCCTTTCTATTCTGCTTTCTAGCATTGCAAATTTTCTGTTTTTTGGAATTCCTTCTTTTAGCTAAAATTCACTTGCAATTCCATTTGTTCTATATGCTATTATGTGATTTATATCTGGGTAGTTAGTGGACGAACATCCGTAATGTAATTTATTTTACTAAAACATGTTAATAGGGAATTTAGGAGCAAGGCTTGATGTTTTAGGGTAAAGCCTTCTAAGATAAAGGGAAAACAAGAAATAAGTCGTACCTTTCAAATTTTGATCTATATTTTGTATGTTAATTTTAATTTGGTCCATAACTTTTGATCTATTTCAATTTTATCCTAAATAAATATGATTTGTCACAGAGTAGTCCTAAGCCACCATCAGCTAATTCCAGGCTAAACCTGCTTAGCATTTGCTAAACGATAGTGTATAATGTGGAAAGGGACCAGGCAACAAAAGAGAAGGATTAAATGAAAAGAAGATGCTTTTCTTGGTCCGCCACACTATCAGACCTTTTGACCTATATCCATAGGCATTCGTTTCTTCCTTTTGGAGGGGAAGGTCTTCCTCCACAAACTGAAACTGAAGCAGCAAAAAATACTGATTTTCACCCTAAAGCTAATTGATGCTCTAATGTGCTTAAATACGGAATTGCAAATTGGAGGACCATTCATTGTGTTGAAGCTTGTGAATCTGCTTCCATTTCTTCACACTCCAGGCATGTAGCGGCTGGCCTGTTAATGGCAGGTGGTGATTTGTGTTCTGATGCATGAAATTTGACCCTATGAAAGAATTCTATTAATGGCCAATTTTGCTGGGGGAAGTTATTCAAAAGAAATCAAAGAAATCCAGTGATATCTCTTCATTTAGTCGTTATTCTCCTATTGTGCCTGCCATCTTCTTTTGCCAACCCTCATCTGGGCCAAACCCTTTCAAGCTGCATTTGCAAATTGGACATAACGCAGAAGGCCCTTTAATCTCAAGGCATACAAGTTGGGTTTCTTTTAGCAGGAAGAGATGTGGAAATACTGCTTAGTTGCTGAGCCATAGATGCAGGAGTAAGAGGAATAATGTGAGGGGAAAGTTTAGTAGAATAGGGACTTGCTAAAAGAATCTTGTTAGGTAAGCAGAGTTTCTGAGAAGAAGGAAAATGGTTGGCAGAAAAAGCGGAGAAGGAATGGGTGAGATAACAAATAAATATCAAATCTCAATGAAATCTTTATTCGGAGATTGCTAAAACTAAATGGTTTCATGACTCATGTGGGAGTTAACTGGGATATACAGTAAACACTAACTAGTTAACACATGGAGACCAAGCTAAACCTTTGACTTAGAAATCATGCTGCTCATGCTGCCTTATAGTTGCTGCCAGTCGAACATGGTGGCCAAGTTTTGAGTGGTTGTCAGAATTTTTTGTTGTTCAAGTTTCTATTTCATGAGCTTCTACCTGCAATAAAATGCCACTATACTACAAACTCAATCCCTAAAAAGATCCAGAAACAGTAAACAATAAAAGTAATACCACTAAAAAGAAGGTAAAGAATTTTTTCCGGGTAAATAAAATAATCTTAAGTAATTTCTCTTGCACCTGTCAATTAATGTAGTGATGGAATCTGGGATGGGTAAGGGTGCTGGCGATAGTGGAAATAGAGATGGGTAAGTATTTCGAGTGGATTGGCATTGATGGCTTCTCCCTTTTGCTGTAATGAGCTTGAGGACTAGTCATATTCGTTTAAGATGATCTTAGGACAGATGAAATATTAGGCGCCCAGTCAAATTTTAAGCTTTACAACAGTGACCTTAAGTACCGTTGATTCTTATGAACTTTTTGCACAAATAGAAGAGTTCAAAGATATAAGAATCACCTGTTAGTGTCAGCCTCATGGGGAACTGTTTTGTACTTATATTAGCCGCTGGCGTTTTTATGCTAGCTATAGACCCTAGTCAGTACTGTGCTTGAAAGATCTTTGTGCATGCAAAACATTTGCATGGTGTTTGGGGTATTTTGGTAGTTTCTAAAAAAAGGTTGCAATAACTGTTTCTGCAAAAAGTTTTTGTTTGGTGACAAATTTGCAAAAAAGGTTCACGTTTTTTGTATTTGAATATTTGATTTCCAAAAAAAATTTCAATAAAATTTTCCAATTAAAAATAATAACTACCCCCCCCCCTTTTTCCCCGTTTTTTTTAGAACTAAACTCGACTAACGTAACCGCCACGTC